AGGAGGCAGGAGGCAGGAGGCAGGAGGCAGGAGGCAGGAGGCAGGAGGCAGGAGGCAGGAGGCAGGAGGCAGGAGGCAGGAGGAGGCAGGAGGCAGGAGGCAGGAGGCAGGAGGCAGGAGGCTTAGCAGTTTAGGGTCTTATCTGGCTACACAGGGAGTTTGAGGCCAGGCTAGACTACATGAGATACTGCCTTGAAAAACCAAAAGACAGACAGACAGACAGACAGACGGAAAGACAGAAAGACAGAAAGACAGGAAGACAGGAAGACAGAAAACATAACAACATAACAGAACCCCTGTTCCCTGGTGTCTTCTGAGACACCTGAATGCCCCTCTCCCTAGGATGTCCCTTACAGGAAGGTGCATGGATCTGGGCCTAGTCACTGATCTGGTAGCATCAGTGATAGCCAGGGTGGGAAGAGGATGCATGGGGACAGGGGCAGCCCTGTGGAGTGCTGGCCCGTCAGGGGCACCCTGACAGGGTGACTTGCCTTCTAGAACCGGGAGAAGTACCTGATACCCTTTCTGTCCCTTCAAATCATGGACTTCCTGCTGTGCCTGCTCACTCTGTTGGGCTCCTACATCGAATTGCCAGCGTACCTGAAGCTTGCCCGGCCCCGGCCTGTGAGTACCCGTGTGCATGGCTTGACCTGGGCAGGCTGGCCAGGGCAGGTCCCTTTCCTCCTTCAGCAGGGTCCCATAATCCCTGCCAAGCACCCTCAGGCTCTCTCCTCTGCATGTTGTGACTGTCAGTGTACCTCATGGGAAAGCCTTAGGACCAAATGAGGGCAGTGTGGGGTTGGAACCCAGTGTATAACACTACCATAGGGTAGCAGCCCCTGTTCCTGATGAGAATAATGTCTCCAGGTTTCAGAGCCTGGTAAGATGTCTATTCACACTGACCATGAGTGAGCTACCCAGGGGGAAGGGCAGGGTGCCTTTTCAAGCTTTGGCCTTAATTTAATTCCTTCTTTGGAATTGATCAAGATGAACGGATGGCCAAGATCAAGAAATGAAGACCATCCACTGAGGAAAAGTGTGGTGGCCTTAGCTGGTCACAGTATACACAGCTCTGTCACAGTTGCCTTTCACAGTCCCCCGGCTCTGGTCCTTGAAGGACGGGACTGCTGGAAGGTGGGGGGAAGGCTGGGGAGTTAGAAGACTCCTGTTGTGGTCCCAGCTCTGCAGACACACCGATGTGAGCATCCCACATTCCTTTCACTGAGTGTAGCCAATGAGGGATGGCTGGTGGCTTGGGTGGAGAGCCTTCCAAGGGAGGACTACTCGGTAGCCTGCTTGTGGATCTTCATTCTTCCTCTCTGTCCTCCTTAGGGTCCTTCTAAGGTCCCCTTGATGACACTGCAGCTGCTGGACTTCTGTTTGAGTGTCCTGACCCTCTGCAGCTCCTACATGGAAGTGCCCACCTACCTTAACTTCAAGTCCATGAACCACATGGTGAGTCTTGGTGGAGGACCAGGTCACATGCTGGCTGTGTGGCTTGGGGCAAGGTGTCCCCCATGCCGGGTGGGACATAGTTGGAGGCTGGGTTCTGGGGAGGAAGACTCGGGTGAATGATGGATTGGGGGAGTGACTGTCAGAGAGAAGCTTCTAGGGCAGAAGGAGTTCTGGCCATGAACAGCTACACAGCATCCTGCCCTGGGAACTGCATTATAGGAATGACATCAGGTGTCCCTGCTGTCTAACTCACTATGGCCAAGCATGGTGGCTTAAAATGACCAGGTCCTGTCATAGTTCTGAGGGCAGGAACTTTGGGGTAGGTTGGTAGGTGGTTCAGTTGCTGGCTCAGCATGGTAGCTAGGAAGGGGGCGAGTGACCTGCTCCCCCAGGGGTTCTTACTCAGTTCCTCATGGTGGGGACTTTAAGTAGGGCAGCCCGAGTGTCCTCAGGGCACAGCTGCTGGCTTTCCTCAGCGGAGGGATTGGGAGGGAGAAAAGGAGGCACCAAGAATGAAATCTTCATTCTGGCCTCTGGCTGGCTGCTCCTGAAAGCTCATGTCAGTCCCGGAATGAGTCCAGCCCATCCTCCAGGGAAGAGGCTGGCGATTCTTATTTCAGAAGAAGGGGAGCCAGGTGTGGTAGTGCTTGCCTGTTATCCCAGCACTTGCGAGGTTGAGGCAAAAGGATTGCTGTGAATCTGGGACCAGTCTGGGCAGATGAACAGACAGGCAGACAGAATGTGTGGGCATATATGCTCCTTGCCCAGAGGTGGTGCCTCTCACACCTGGTACCCCAAACGTTGGTCCTGGCTGGAGCTACCCTGATGAGCAGTGGGTGTAACCTGCTAGGTGTTAGAGGACTAGATGACTCCTAGCAGCCAAGACTCCCTAGACTGGGAGGCACCAGCTACACACTTCTTCCCCTGGGGCTCCTGAGTTGGGAGTAATAAAGGTGGTGTGTGTGTGCATATATGTGTTCATGGGTGCATGTGTGCATGCATATGCATGTGAAAGACAGGGAGAGAGAGAGAGAGAGAGAGAGAGAGACAGAGACAGAGACAGAGAGAGAGAGAGAGAATATCTGTGATCCTGCCCAGGATTGAGGCATTGATGTCTCCCTTTATCATTTCAGAATTACCTCCCAAGCCAGGAGGGCATACCACACAGCCAGTTCATCAACATGATGATTGTCTTCTCAGTGGCCTTCATCACCGTGCTCATCCTGAAGGTGAGTGGGCCCTGCACCCCATGGTTCTGTGACCATGGTTAAGGCTGTGGAGTGGTCCAGGCTTCCCCACACCGGACTGTGAGGAGGCAGGATGAGGTGTGCTTGTGATCCCCTCCTGCTTCTGACCTCTCTAGCTCTCCTGCCTCAGCTCCTCTGATGTGTCTTGGCATCCTCCAGGACCATCTTCTTAGAGGCTATGGGTCTGTGCAGCCTTGTGTACTCAGCTGCCTGGATCCAGCAGGGAGCTCCTTGTGACACTGGCCTCCTGTGCTGTCTGGGGTTAGAGGTCAGCCCTGTGGGCTGAGACTACACACACCATTCTGTAATCTTAAAACATAACAATGTATCAGGGGCTTTTGATTTGCTTTTGAAACAAAGTCTCATGTAGTCCAGGCTGGCCTCAAACTCACTATGTAGCCCAGGCTGACTTTGGATTCCTAATCTTCCTGCCTACACTTCCCAAGTGCTGGAATGTCTTAGTTAGGGTTTTACTGCTGTGAACAGACATCATGACCAAGGCAACTCTCATAAGGACAACATTTAGTTGGGGCTGGCTTACAGGTTCAGAGGTTCAGGCCATTATCATCAAGGTGGGAGCATGGCAGCATCCAGGCAGACATGGTGCAGGAGGAGCTGAGAGTTCTACATCTTCATCTGAAGGCTGCTAGGAGAAGACTGACTCCCACACAGTTAGGAGGAGGGAGGGTCTCATTGCTCACCGGCACAATGACACGCTTCCTCCAACAAAGCCACACCTACTCCAACAAGGCCACACCTCCTAACACTGTCATTTCCTGGGCCAAGCATATTCAAACGACCACATAGGGTCAGAAGGGCGTGCCCCCATGCTCAGCTCAGAGGCAGTTTTGAAGAGCACTTTCCCACTGTTGAGCTCTGTCTCAAGATGGGTGGTGTTCCTCTCACTCAGGGTGACTGAGTAGGGTGAGCCTAGCGGTGTCCAGAGAGGCTGAAGGTCAGATCAGAAGCTGCAAGGCATTTGCTGCTCGGCGGCTGTGGGCATCAGCAGACACGGTCTGTGGTATGTGCCAGGCTGGCGTGTGAGGAAGCCCAAAGCCAACATGGGGTGGGGTCTGAGCTGCTGCTGGGTGCTATCTTTTGGGATGAGTGAGTATTTGCTCCCTGGGGGCATTGAACATCTACGTAGAGCCTCTCGGACAAGGGCAGGAGGGTGGACAGAGTGTAGTCTAAACAGGCTTTCCTCCAGGTCTACATGTTCAAGTGTGTGTGGACATGCTACAGATTCATGAAGCACATGAATTCGGCCATGGAGAGCAGCAGCTCCAAGATGTTCCTCAAGGTGAGTCTGACGGAGGGTCAAATGCCGGGCTACCACTCTCTTGCTGTGCTGCTTGGGGCCATTTCCTTTCCTTCTCTGAGCCTTGGCACTTTTTTTTTTCAACATAATATTTTTATTGACTGGGAATATTGTTTGAGATTGGGAATCTCATACTATGCACTCCGATCATGCCTGTTTCACAGTTCTCTCAGGTCCACTCTCCCACCATTGTATCCCTTCCCCCGAAAAAATACACCAAGTTTAATTTGTGCTGCCCACACACTGACTGGAGCATGGTCAAATTCCCAGCAGGTCTCAGTACTTGTAAGAAAATTGTTGGACCAGAAGAAATGTGAACAACATCAGCTATGATAGTCTAAGATCCCCTCCATCTATCTATCCATCCACACACCTACCCATCCATCTACCCATTTTCCATTTATCCATCTACCCACCCACTCATCCATCATCCATCCACCCACCTACCCATTCATAACCCATTGTCCAACCATTATGTAACCAGCCACCCAATCATCCATCATCCATCCATCCATCATCCATCCATCCAGTCATCCATCCATCATCCATCCATCCATCCATCCATCCATCATCCATTCATCCAGTCATCCACCCATCATCTATCCTTCCATCCTTCCATCCTTCTATCCTTCCTCCTTCTTTACTGCCCCTTCTTCCTTTGGTCTTATACCCAACCTTGGAGGGTAGAGGACATTGAGATTCCACCTCTGTCTTAGGGGTGTGCACAGTCTACACAGTGCACAGTGTGAATCCAGTTGCTGAGATGTGTTTACACTTCTGTATGAAACACAGGGACCTTGAACATGGAGCTGGCACACAAGTAATTCAGGGAATGCTTCCTGTGAGAGGGGACAGGAAAAAGAGAGTATGTCTGGAAGCAGCTGACTGTGAAGTGATGGGAACACTGCAGCTGGGCCAAGTGTTGGGAGCTCACTTTGAACTGTTGGGAATGAATTAGTTAAGTCATTTTTTGGTAGCAGAGACTTAACCACTGTTGATAGAAGTCCCAAGTGAAGTTAGTAGCCCATAGCACATGAAAGTCCACCGGAGGTGTGGCTGTGTCCTGATCTTGAATTTGACCTCTATCTCTTGACTTCTCCTCTCCTCAGTCCTGGCTCCAATTTCAGGCAGACCTTCCCTATGGTCACAAAATAGCTGCAGGAACACATAGGCCAGCATCTACCATTTAGTAACGCCTGCAGAAAGAGCAGTATATCTGATTGGACCATCTTGGGTCACGTGACTTTTCCCAGTCTGAGGACTAGAGCCAGGGGGATAGAATTTGACTTTGAGCAGCTCATCCCATGCGATGTGTCTACCCCTGGATAGGAGGGGTGGGAGCCACTTCTTTGGAGAGCATTTGGACTGAAGACGTTCATCAAAGCCTTGGACATCGAGGTTAACGGGCCAGGGCAGGTGCAGCCCCTGTGGGGAATGGGAAGCATAACCAGGTCGTGCGGGCATGGAAGCCACTGTCATCATTTTCATGGATGTGGGGGGGAGGCTCCTTGTACCTCAGGTTAGACGGATGGTTTTTTCTTGATGGTACTCAGGTATCCTCTCTGTCTCTCCCAGGTGGCTCTGCCGTCCTATGAGGAAGCCTTGTCTCTGCCCACAAAGACTCCAGAGGGGGACCCTGCACCACCCCCATACTCAGAAGTGTGATCCCCACCAGGCTTTCAGCCCTTGGGCTGGAAGAGGCAGAACTTCCTTCTCCTGCTTCTTCACTTTGGTGGTTGCTGTAGCAACTACAGGACAGTCTGCTTGTGCACCCCTCACTGTCCTCTCCTCTGGGGGACCCCCTCACTCACAACTGAGTCACCCTGGGCTAAATGACCCTTTGTGACTCAGGACTTAGCCTAGCAGCTCTTCCTGTCTCCATCAGCAATGGTACTTGTTCAGAGCACAGTCATGGCAAATTCGGGTGAGTTTGGTTAACAGCTACTGGCTTGATCTGTTTAGCCAGGAGGCCAACACCCACAGGGGCAGCAGGAAGAGAATCTGGCCAAGCAACAGTTCCTGGTGTCAGTCTATACTCAGCCGTCAGGTTACAGGGTGGGTCATGATTGTGGCACCCATTTGCCACCCCCAGTACCCCAAAAGTGTAAAAATAAAACAATTCTTTCAAATAGTTTGCTTAAACAAGTAGAAATTCAGCCAATCAATGTCATTAGGAATTATGATGAAATCTAATAAGAAACTGAGATGTCAAACAGGAAGAAAAGAAAAAGAAACAGAGTTCCTCCCACCATTCAATGCACACCATGGCTGCCCAGCCTCTGCTTGAGTTTCTCTAGCATCCAGAGGCTGGGAAGTCCAACAATCCCTCAGTTGCCCTGACCATCCTGCTCAGCATGGAAAAAAAAATGGTTGCTTCTGTTTTAAACAATCCCTTCCCATGAACCACTGCTCTGATGGCAAGCTGTCCTCAACTTCAGCCAAGTGTTTCCCACGGCCACACAGTGGTGAGGTCGCTGCAAGGGTCACTGTAGCCACTGGCAGATTTAGGGTTTGGTTACCATGACAGCCCAACAGCCAGGTTGCTCCAGTTTGTTTGCCCAGGGCTAGGCTCAGGGGATGGCAGGCTTGGAGTTGGCTGCTCTGTGGGTAGCTATCTGCCACTATGGCTGGCCAGTTGGGGAAGGGTAGCCTGTGGGGTGTGAAGAGCCAACCAGAGTCTTGTGTCCCATGGTGGCCACAAGGAGGGTCACTCCATGTGCCTCTGCTGGCTTTCCCATTGCTATGGGTTGCTATGGGTTTCTATGGGTTGCTAGGGATCTACATCTGTTTGTGGTACAGATGGGGCTGAAGGGCTGAAGGGCAGAGAGAAGTTCCCACTGCATCTGTGTCATTGCTTGTGTGTGACTTGGAAGAAGGGTCAATAAAGTAGCTGCAAGCTCTGTTCTGCCTCATGTGGTTCTTGACAGGAAATGTAGGGATGGAGGACCTGCCTCTGTCCTCCAGTCTTCCTTACTCCATTACACACACGCACAGCACTTCTGCCCGTCCCCTGGGGCCTGATGAGTTTGTCAGTGTCCCCTCCTGAAGCTGCTTCTGACCACAGGTCGCTATGTGAGCATCCCCACATCTCCCAGTGCAGGGGGAACTGTTGACAAGGAGAAAGATGGCCTCCAGCCAGCGCCTTCACTGCATACTGGGGACACACAAGCTGAGGCTGGGAGACAGATCCATAAACTGTGGACATCAGCTAGTGCTATGGGGAAAGACTGTGACCTCAGGGTCCCGAGGATGAAATGTCTTAGGGGGCATTTCACCAAGCAGAGTGAATGATGGGTCATCCTAAGTAAAGGTTGGTCCAGGTCAAAGTTGTAGAATGTATAGGGCTACCACAGTGGGGGAAGGGATGGGCTCAGTGTTCTGTCAGCTGAGAGGAGAGGAGGCAGGTATGGCCTCCTGCACAGAAGGACTTAGCTTGCTCACCCTGGCCAACGTCATCCTGAAGAGCATACCTTGAACAAAGATGGCTGTGAGCAATGGAAATCATAGTGAATCCATTATGCCCAGTCTCCCCAAAGGTCGGGCTGATGGCTCTTAGCTCTCACTCCAGAGGGGAAAGTCCAGAGAATTTAGACTTCCGGTCTGGCTGAATCCAAGACTGATGTTTTTCTGATCATGTCTCTTTGCCTTTATCTCCTGCCTCCCCCTCTAGAACTGCTCAGCAGCTGAGGATCTATCTGGAAGGGACTTCATGAGACCAATGGCCTGACACAATGGCACACTTGGGGGCTGAGGCCAGAGGGGCTCAAGTTATTTAGGCCAGAGAGCCATAGTGAAGCCTTGTCTCCAAAGACCAAGTGCTGAGGGTATGACCTGGCGACAGAGTACTTTCTTGGCATCACAAGGTTTTGCGTTCAACTCCCAGCACCACATAAAAACAAAAGTAAAGGCTAAAAAATCTTGGTTCAGGCCACTCAGGGCTCCCTGGGGATGGAAGATTTCACTGCATATTCTGTTTGCTGTTTGTTTGTTTGTTTTTTTGTTTGTTTTTTTGTTTGTTTGTTTGTTTGAGGCAGGGATTCTCTGTGCAGCCCTGGCTGTCCTGGAACTCACTCTGTAGACCAGGATGGCCTTGAACTCAGGGATCTGCCTGCCTCTGCTTCCCAAATGCTGGGGTTAAAGGCGTGTGCCACCACACTTCTATTTGCCTTTTCGGTCAGACTCTCAAGGAAATGATAACATGTGACTCCAATGCCAATGGAAAAGGAGCTTCAGAGAGATTCAGAGACACCAAGTAACTTTCCTAAGGCCCCACAGCACTTGGGTTAGACAAAGGACTTTTACTTCCAGTCCCAAGTGAGGTTTGTTGGGATGGGCTAGGGCCTGAGCCTGTGTGAGCTTGTGTCTTGTGAAGATCCTCTTACTCTGACCCTAGGCTGCCACAGCAAGTAGGGGATGGAGCAAGAGCAGTGGTCACAGAAGGGAGGACTGACTTTCCATCCTATCACCATAGGACCAACAGATCAAACCATGGATCCCAAGGACCAGGAGGTGTCTGGGTGTATTCCCTGTCTCCCCACTCCCTGCCCTCAGCGCTGGCCTGGAGTCTTGGTGCTGAGCTGTGTAGTGGGATTGTGCCCTGTGGTCAGGCAGTGAGGAGGGGGCAGCCTAGGGACAGGAAATAGCTGGGTTTTGGGGGGAAATCCATGTGGCCAGCCAAGCCAGGCAAGTTGTGGTCTCCTGGGCAGCCTGTGTAGGGGCTTCTCAATGCTCTACTTGAGGCTCAGACAGGGCCTCTTTGATGGGGAGTGTGGACCCCCAAGGGCTGCCTGAGCAGGAGCCAGGAGGAAGCAAACTGGGACCGGGCTGTTACAGGGCAGGCAAGATGGCAGCTGCTGGAGTGTTCAGAATCACGCCGGATTGTGGAACAGGAGAGCTTGGGTTTCTTGGGCACTACAACACTGGCAAAATTGTCAGTCCCTCAATTGCTAGGGTCCTTCTGTGTCCCATCTCTGAACACATGGGGGACCAGCACAGATATGGCCTGGCCCCAGCCTTGCCCATGACACACACGTGACTTATGGCTGGTGCACACCCTACCCTGGACCTCAAAAGTGGATGACTATTGCACAACACCTGCTATGTAAATCCATGAGGTGGAGAAGCGTGTGTCCTCTGGACATGTGGGTGGGATGGTAGATGAGAGGTAAGAGTGTCGCCCAGGGAGACGGAGATACCACATCTTAGTGGAACATAGTGGTGACTGCTGGCTTCTCCGAACACCTCCTACCTTACCTAGCATTTGGCTTCCAGCTGGTGTGACCCCTTACAGAGCCCATGTGGCATCACATATGGCCCTTCATCCCACAGAGGCAATGTTCTAGCTGCTGATGTGACAAGGAATCCACTCACTTTTGTAGATTCTCGATGTCAAACAGTTCTATAAGCCAGTGGGACTGTGTATGTGACGGGGACCCAGCTGCCTCCTTCTCCTGGCCTCTGCTTTACTTTCAGGTGACTAAAGATTCCCATTCAATTGGATTGCTTTTGGCAACAACTCCAATTTGTAATAGCATTGAGGCAGGAAGCATAGGGAATGGCTTGTAACCTGGAACTCCACTTGGCTTGCGCCACATACTCAACCCTCCTCTAAAAATTGTACTTGGTAATCGAAGACCATATCTGCCTTGAGTTGCACATTCACCCCACTCCAAAAAGTTGAATATATGATATCCTCCCTAACAACCATCAGTGACTCTCCCTCTTATGGCCCAGTGAGATGCCCAACAGGTAAAGATGTTTGCCACCAAGGCTGATGACCTGAGTTTGATCCTGGAGCCTCCAGGGTAGAAGGAGAGACCTGACTTCTGAAATTTGTTCATTGACCTGTACACACACACTGTGGAATGTGTGTGCTTGTACACACACACACACACACACACACACACGCACGCACACGCTTCCTTTTGTAGCAAGTTTCTATTCAAACACATTCTTAGCTATATCTGGTACTGGACTCATGTAGACTGATGGTTTTGGGTGCATGGTCAATAAGACAAACTGTGTCCTCTGGCAAAAGGCTATGTTCATCATTTTATGGTTGAGCATAGTTGAGCATACATACGGTTAAAATCAGATACATTAAAGTGGAGGGACAGGCATGGTAGGAAAAGTTTACAGAACCCAAACCTGTCAATCAACATAAGGAATCACTCTTGCTAAGCTCCAGAGTAACCAGCTCATCTTTCCCTTGAACCCCATAAAGGGCAAGCCTAAGCTAACCAGAGCCCCTCAGTGTTCTCTCTCCAGCAGCCTCCTGCTCGCTTGCAGAAATCTGACTGCTTGTGTAACTTCGCTCTTGAATAATTTCCTTGCTGTTCTGAAACTGCTGTGTGCCTTTATTTCGGTTCCTTGAATGAGATGCCAAAGCCTGGAAATACCCAGTCCAGACACTGACCACAGGTGACAGAAGCATTTTAAATGTCAGAAGAGCAAGCTGGGAGCTAGGCCCAGGGCTCTCCATGGGCCTTTGGTGGCAGCACAGCCTTGTGGAGCAGCGGGAGGTCGCTGCAGCCACAGGAACACGTGCATCCCGGGCTGTCTGGGCTCCTAGGGACCAGTGCCATAGCCAGGTCTTCCCCCAGGTTCTTGGCGGATGTCTGCCTAGTTACTCACCAGGTGAGTCCCAGCAGGCAAGAGTGGCCAGCATGAGGGAACCACAGTTGGATGTGAACAGTCAGCCCATCTGGGGGATAGTGCAGTGACCATCCTAGTGGTCCAGCCAAGAAGTTACCCTTGGCATCCTCTGGCCCATGCACTACCTCTCCAGGAGGGTGAGTTGTATAGCCACATCCAGATGCTCTGGTCTAGATGACCTTTGAGGTTCTTCAGAGCCCAATTTGAGGTTTTACACCACTTAGGTGACTGGGAAGCCTGATTCCACCCCAAGCCCCATTTTAGACAATGGTCTCACTTGGTTGCCCAGGCTGGTATCAAACTCTGGGTCCAACCAATCCTCTTCTTGTAAGGCTGTGGCTACACGTGACTGCTAGTGCTTCTGACTGTCTGAATTCTGATTTGGGAGTGATCTTGGCCCCCAGATACCTTTTCATGCAGAAGAATGTGCTGATTATTTTTCCTATTGCAGTGACAAAAAACAACCAAACCAAACCAAACCAAACAAA